TTGTTTAGTCTTCATGTGTTCGTGTTTTTTCCAGTATTTTTCTTGTGATTTACTTCTATTTTCATACCATTGTGGTAAGAAAAGATGTGTTGTTTGATTTCAATATTCTTATCCTGTTTTATGGCCTAATATGTGGATTCATTATGGACAATGTTTCATGTGCACTTGAAAATACTATATATTTTGTTGTTTTTGGATGGAATATTCTGTTATGTCCATCTGATCCAGGATGTCATTCAAAGACATTGTTTCTTTATTGATTTTATCTGTATTATCTATCCATTGATATAAGTAGAGTCTTAAGTACACTAGTATTATTGTATTACCATAAATTTCTCTCTTTATGTCCATTAATATTTGTTTTTTGTATTTAGGTGCTCCAGGTTAGGTGTGTAGATATTCACAAGTGTTATATCTTCTTGTTGAACTGATCCATTTATCATTATATAATGTCCTCCTTTATCCTGTTACAGTCGCTCAAAGTCTATTTTGTCTGATACAAGTATTGCTACCTGCCTTTTTTTTCCACTTCCATTTGCATAGTGAATGTTTTTCCATCCCTTTTGCTTTCATACTATATATATATGTCTTTAGGTGAGGTAAATTTCTTGTAGACAGCATATAGATGGGTCTTGGTTTTGTTATTGTTTTATCAATTCTGTCATTCTGTATCTTTTGATTAAAGTATTTAGGCCATTTTCATTTAAGGTAATTATTGATAGGTATATGCCTATTGCCATTTTTTTGGCAATTTGGCAATGCCTGTTGGTCATTTTTGTAGTTCTTTTTTGTTCCTTATTTTCTTGCTTTCTTTGTGATTGATGAATATCTATAGTGTTTTGTTTGGCTTTCTTTATTTTTTGTTTATCTATCATAGGTTTTGGGTCTGTGGTTTCCATGAGGTTCATATATAACATTCTGAGTTGATAGCAGTTCATATTCATTTGATGGTCATGTAAGTTCAAACACAAGGAAGGAAGGAAGGAAAATCTTGCTTTTTCTTTTTTCCTTTATCATTCCTTTTTACTCCCTTTTCGACATTTTACATATATGTTGCCATATTTTATTTATTATTTTTTATTCATATTTTCCTTATGTCTAATTATAGCCACTTCTTTTCCACTTAAAGAAGTCCCTTTAACATTTCTTGTAAGGCTGGTATAGCAGTGTTAAATTCCTTTGTCTTTTGTTTGTCTGGAAAACCCTTTATCTCTCCTTAAGATCTGAATGATAACCTTGTCAAATAGAATATTCTTTTTCATAGGGCTTTTTTTTCTGCTTAAACACTTTGAAATATCATGTATGTCACTCCCTTCTGACTTACAAAGTTTCTGCTGAAAAATTAGTTGATAGCCTTACAGGTTTTTCCTTGTGGGTAACTTTCTGTTTGTCTCTGGATAGTTTTAAGATACTCTCTTTGGGGCGCCTGGGTGGCACAGTCGGTTAGGCGTCCGACTTCAGCCAGGTCACGATCTCGCGGTCCGTGAGTTCGAGCCCCGCGTCAGGCTCTGGGCTGATGGCTCGGAGCCTGGAGCCTGTTTCCGATTCTGTGTCTCCCTCTCTCTCTGCCCCTCCCCCGTTCATGCTCTGTCTCTCTCTGTCCCAAAAATAAATAAAAACGTTGAAAAAAAAAATTTTTAAAAAAGATACTCTCTTTATCTTTAACCTTTGATATTTTATTACTATGTGCCATAGCGTGGAACTCCTTGGGTTCATCTTGTTTGGAACTCTCTGTGCTTCTTGGACTTAGATGTCTGTTTCCCTCCAAGTTTAAGGAAGTATTCAGTTATTATTTCTTCAGAAAAGTTTTCTGCACCTTTCTCTCTCTCTTCTTCAGGGATCCCTATAATGAGAATCTTTGTTCACTTGGTGTTGTCCAAGATCTCTTAATCTATCCTCATTGTTTAAAACATTTTTTTCTCTTTTTGCTGTTCCTTCATCAAAGCTTGTTTGCTTTCCATTATCCTTTCTTCTAGATCACTGATACATTTGTCTGCATCCTCTCATGTACTGTTGATTCCCTTTAGTATGTTTTTTTTTTATTTCAGTTATTGTATTCTTCACCTTTTCTTTTCTTCTATTTCTTCACCTTTTAATATTTTCTTTCTCTTTTTTGAAGGTCTTACTGAGCTCTTCCATTCTTTTTTTTTTTTTTTTTTTTTTTTTTTTTTTTTTTTCTAGTCCAGTGGGCATCTTTATGATCATTACTTTAAATACTTTATCAGGCATGTTGCTTATCTCTGTTTCATTTAGTTATTTTTTGAGGGTTTTTCTTGTTCTTTCTTGTGGAGCATATTCCTCTAGCTCCTCATTTGCTTGACTTCCTGTGTTTGTTTCTATGGATTAGATGAAACAGCTACTTCTCAAGTTCAGGGAGTTGTCTTGTGTATGGTGTCTCCTATGCAGACCATGGGCTTAGTGACTTTTGCTGGCTGGCTGGAGCTATGACTGTATATGGTAGTAATTTTTTTTTAAATCATGGCCTTTACAGAAAGAATAAGAAAAATAATAATGAAAGAAAGTAAGAAAATAGAACAGAGAAGGAAAAAAGAAAAGAAAAAAGAAAAAAAAGGAAAAAAATCAAAAAGAAAAAAATTAAAACAAGACAAGACAATTTTTTTAGTGTTTACTTATTTTTGAGAGAGAGACAGAGCATGAGCCGGGAAGGGGCAGAGAGAGAGGGGGACACAGAATCAGCAGCAGGCTCCAGGCTCTGAACTGTCAGTGCCTGCAAACTGTGAGATCATGACCTGAGCTGAAGTCAGACGCTTAACTGACTGAGCCACCTAGGTGCCCAACAAGACACATTTTAAAAAGTAAAAAAACAAACAACATCAACAAAAAAACCATATATACATTTAATTAAAAAGTAAAAATTTAGGGATACCTAGGTGGCTCAGTTCATTAAGCATCTGACTTCAGCTCAGGTGATGATCTCATGGTTTTGTGAGTTCAAGTCCCTCGTCAGGTTCTGTGCTGACAGTTCAGAGACTAGAGCCTGCTTGGGATTCTGTGTCTCCCTCTCTCTCTGCCCCTCCCCCACTTGCTCGCGCTCGCTCTCTCTCTCTCTCTCTCTCTCTCTCTCTCTCTCTCTTGAAAATAAATAAACATTTTAAAACTAAAGAAATAGGGCACCTGGGTGGCTTAGTCAGTTAAGCGTCTGACTTCAGCTCAGGTCATGATCTCAAGGTTCATGAGTTCAAGTCCCGCATCGGGCTCTGTGCTGACAGCTCAGAGCCTGGAGCCTGCTTCAGGTCTGTGTCCCTCTCTGCCCCTCACCCATTTGTGCTCTGTCTCTCTCTGTCTCTCAAAAGCAAATAAACAGTTAAAAAAAATTAAATAACAAAACCCCTACAAAACCATGGCCTATTTTCTGTGCCCCAACACTACAGGGTAACTGGGCTTGTGGGCTTGTGGACCCTGGGCTCACTGAGGTGGCAAACTCCCTGTGATGACTGGATTCATCAGTTATGGCATCAAGACCTGCCTTCTGAGGCATCAGGACCCTCCATTTATGGTTTCCAAACCTCTTCACAGCAGGCAAATCCTGCTATGGCCTGGGCTTTTAAGGTTGAAGGAGAGATAGCATTCCCGCAGCGCCTCAGCCCTTTTAAACTTTGACTTCTCTTTTCTGTGTCTACATGACTAGGGCTAGCATGGGCTTGTGGACCCTGAGCTTGCTGAAGTTACAAGCTCCCTGAGATGACTGGGCCTGCCTGTTACGGTGTCTGGACCCTGCTCCTGTCTAGGCTTTTAAGGTGGGGTGGGCATATAAACCAGGCCATTCTCCAGTCCCTCTGACCTGGAAAGGTTTCTCATAATTCCTCTGCAGCTTGGCAGACTTCTGGTGAAGTCTCTTTTCTGTGCCAGTTGCTCTTTTAAACAATGTTTTTTGTTTCTGTGCCCAAAGACGGAGGGATCTGTTCCCGGTTCCTCAGTGCCATCCCTCCCCACTGCAGATTGCAGTGTTGCGGTGGGGTTCCCTTGGTTACCATCCATCTCTCTTGCTGTTCTCTTGCCATTCTCTCTGCCTTTGGTTGTTCAGTAGCTGTTCAGTCAATCTGCAGTTCTTCTTCACGAGGAACTGTTCTATTAATAGGTCGAATTTGGTGTGTTCCATGGAGGAGGTGAGATCAGAGTCCTCCTATGTCACCATCTTGAACCAGAACTCTATTAACATCCATTTCCGAGTGAGAGAATTGAATCACACACGTCAAAACCTAATTCCTACCCCTCATATAGCTCATAGTTTATTAGGTAGATAGACACTTGAGCTAAATGATTTCAAGCCATTGTGGTAGGTGTCACCATGGAGGTCTGATGGGCGTGTAGAAGAGGGTGAGGTGAGGAGAAATGAGAACTGTGTTTTCATTTGACGCTCACAGTGACCCTGTCGCATAAGGGATGCGACGTGAGTTACTCATGATCATATAGTGAGGAAGGGATATCTATGGGCTTCTACCTCCTAACTTAACTGCAGTGCCCCAGCTAGCTCCCACTACCGCCCATTCCAGTTTTCAATGAGCTGTTTAATTACCAAAGAATTACCAGTATTTTATGTCTAAAATCAGACCCTCCGAAGAGTACAGTTGTTATTACGAAATAGTGCATGGTTATGGGTGACATGTCAGTGTCAGTAGTCACTAACTTTTTCTAAAATTTCTTTTAATGTTATTTATTTTTGATTGAGACCGAGACAGAGTGAGAGCAGGGGAGGGACAGAGAAAGAGAGGGAAGCACAGAATCTGAAGCAGGCTCCAGGCTCCGAGCTGTCAGCACAGAGCCCGATGCGGGGCTCGAACTCACAAACCGTGACATCATGACCTGAGCCAGAGTCGGACACTTAACTGACTGAGCCACCCACGCACCATATTGTCAGCAACTCTTTAGCATCTTCAGTGTGTGTTGGGAAAAGGAGAAGGTGGAAAGATGCGTGTGCAGGGAAAAAGGCATGCAGAGAGCATGTACATGCCTTTCATATCAATACGTTTTTCTGATAGGATCTGGAGTCAGGATCTGAAAGTGGAGCGGACGCCATTTCAATGAATCAGGCGCCAACAAATTTGTCTTCTAACACCGAATCCAGTGACCCACCATCTTCCACCCCAGTGGCCAGTTTTGGAACCAAACCCAAGTCTACGGTAAGTTGTAAGTGATAGCAGTCAGTTTTAATTGAAATGCTGATGATCATAAGGTAAGAGTTGATATCTTATCCATTCAATATGGAAAAAAATACTCTTAGAGTCTTGGTTGCAGTAACTTGATAGCATTTAATTAAATACAGTCTCACATATGTTGCTTGCTTTATAATGGTAACACAAGTACCTCACTAAAACGGGTCATGGTTCTAGAATTACGCAATATATGGTACCAAATTTTGTTGCTGGATAATCAGATCTCTAAAGAACGAACAATGAAAAATCTGGAGTTCGTTCTCCCTGAATTATTATCCTGACCACACTGCTTACTAGTCGGAAAATTACCTAAGACTAGATACATAGATAGAGAGATAGAGATATATAAAATCACACAAATCATAAATTTTACGTGGGTATTAATTGACATAGCTCAAGCTCATGTAAAGGACTTAAACACTTGGCACAAAATAATTACTGAATAAATGTAAGCTACTATCATTATTATGATAATGCCTCATCAACTTTACAGTGCTACCAAAACAAATAAGAGAATTACTATGTATAATAGTATGGTATGGTGAATTGTAAATAAAAGACATTTTCCGTTAAGTAAAAAGTTGAACTGCTACGGGAAAGCAGTATTTGACTGTAAAAGGTAACATTTGTGGAGGAAGTAATTACTACTTCAAATATCTAAAGTCCCAGCAGCTCCAAAATAACCTTCCCTAGTTTAGTGAAAATCATAGTGGCATATTATTTTTTTAAATGCCGATGTTAGCTTAACACAGGGAAACAAGTTTGGAGTGCCTGTTTGCCTGATTTTAAAATAAAAGGCAAGTCTGAAATAGGACTCAGAAGAGAATACTCTGAATTTAAAACATGGTAGATATGTTGAATTGCAGGGATATATAGAACATTTTTAAGGGAATATTTATAGAATACCTACTACGTGCCATGCACTATGATAGATTAAAGACTGGGAGAGCGATAAGACATACTTTCTGTCTTTAAAAAGCTCACAATCTAGCCCAGGGGAGTAGGTACATAAAGAGTGAAATGCATATGGTAGTGCTGTACATATTGGAAATGGCAGGAACCAATGACCTACCACATAATGCTATTTTAGGGTACGGTGAAAAAACAGGGTCAGAAATAATATGTGTCAACAGGCAGACTGCAGTGAAATGGTGTTCTTCTGTTTCACAGTATGTAATGAAGGTTAAGATGCAAAATTAAAGTATGAAACCAAATGATCTCATTTCACCATATTCTTACTGAGTACAAAGATAAAAGCCTCTCAACAGTTTTAACTCAACGGTGTAGGAACCGGTGGAGCATTGGCTTTTTGAATATTGGTACAGGTATGTGGCTGACACGTCAGAAGTAAAAAAGGAAGGTGAATTCCCTTTTTAAAGGTATTTATTCTTAAATTCGCTTTTGAAAGCACCTGCTGATATCCTAAAGAGCTGTTCTTTTCTCTCTGATATTTATTCTGTGTTCATCATTTACTTCAGAAAAATTACCATTGGCGTCTGCTATTTCTCCCTTGAAACATACATATTTTAGTGTGTGATCACCTTGTCATTTTTAACAACTTATACAACTTTGTGTGAAGTTCCCTAGTTTTTCTTCAATACCCTCGTGTTTGTAAATGTGCTCAATATATTTCCACTGAGATATGTTTATGTATTTTTCTGGTAACCAACTATTGTAAGGTTTTAGAATGAGAAACATGAAGCCATCGGTTTTATCAGGACCTTGATTCTTTAGAATACTTTGAGATGGGTCTGTTTTCAAATGTTTCATGTTTTGCCACATCACTTGACCGAACTGTTCACTCCACAGGCAAAATTAAGAAATGCTAAAGTCAGTTATGGAACAGAAACAGACGTTTTTGTGCACTCCAGATTAAATGTGTACTGAAAAGTTGTCAAGTTTGGATAAAATAGTACGTGACTGTCTCCCCAGATGTTCAGGTGTGACTTGTTACCTGGGTGCGTGATCACAGCTTCACAGTGATGCCACAGCTCATTAGTCCATAAGCACTGAGAACCACGAGACAGTGAACTCAGGCTCCAAACATACAAGACGACCAAAAACTACTGACCCAATCTCGACCAATACCACAGGCAGTTAGACAACTGTACATGGAACTCTGTCCAGCTACTGAACTATAATTTAGTAAAATTCTCCAGCAGGCCATGAGAAGGACCCAGAAATAAACACTCCACTGTCACAGACAGCTGACTTTTAGGAAATTTCTTACTGAAAATGGCCAATAATGAAAATAGCTTGAGAAGCAGGCTTTTTGGGGGGCGTAGGAAGGTTCATTTTTTTTGCGGGGGGGGTGTCATTTTAATGTGTGTGTATATTTTATTTTGTGTTATTATTGGTGTTGACTATTTTGAGTACAGTTCCTTCTTACTACAGTTTGAAAATAATTCTTTGGCTGTGGATCACCTGTCTGTTTTTAGTTTGTTTCTTGGCTGGAATACAGAATTTTACCTATTTTATGAGAGAGTAAATAGGTTCTTTTCCCTTCAGTTTGGAGCTTGGGAAATAGATAATGTGTAACGGCAGTCTGGCTATTTTGTGAAAAGAGAGAAAACTCCAGTATCCTACATAGTCATTCTTTTCACAGGGAATTGAAGTTTCAATGTTAATATTAAGTAGAAACATTAAATTCTAAGAACACCTACTTATAACATCTACCCATCATGAACTAACCTTCTACTCCATCGTGTCATATTTTTACAAAATGTTTACTTTTATTTCATAATTATTTAATATTACATTTGATTTGCTGCTGTGAAATCTATTTATGATGGTGACTAACTACCACAAATATTTGGCTTTCCTTTTGTACGTAGGACCTCTCTGGGTTTCCAAGTGCCTATTTTTTCAATAAGATTTCTTCTTTTATATGTATTATTAGAACAGGACCAAGGAGTAATCTTCAGCTATTTCATGAATACTATGTATATATCATGCCAAAAAAATGAGCATTAAGGTACATTTCAGGGATGTATTTTACACAAAAATGAAAAAGTTGAAAGGTAGGATACCCAGTACCAAAAAAAACACATTAGATAAAAGAGGTCTAGTGTTTTGTGTCCAAAAAATCACCAGTTTCTCTCCCAAATCTTTGTTTTGTTCCTTTGAAACAGTGTCATAATGCCTTTCTTGAGAGACACTTTCACAAACAACCCATGATTAGTCATATTGTTTTAAACAAAGTCTCTGACTCACTATAGAAGGATATACTGGCGTCCTTCCAGCTATGGTAATCGGTTGAGTTGTTCTTATATTCATTAATATGTGGTTGTAACATGAAAGATTTTAAAGCTCAGCACTAAAACCTCAGGGGTTTTGTTTTTTTCCTAAACATACTTATAAGTGTAAGTCTTCACTAAATTATTATTAATCATTAAGAGATAAACTGAGCCCTAGATAACCAAAAAAAAAAACAAAAAACAAAACAAAAAACAGTGCATTTCATTTGTAGAATAAGTAACTGGAGGAACAGGGAGAGTCTAGTATTCTACAGAATAATCAAGAGCATCATTCAGAGCAGTGCAAGGATATGTTTTCAATTTAGTCTAAACTCCCCTTCCCTCTGTCTCCCAAAAACTTCTTTAGTTGCTCTGTGATAGAATTCTAATAACAGTGATGAAACCCTCAATCATTTGGGCATGTTGGAACCACAGCTAGACAGAGCAGCTTTGAGTATGTCCTAAAGTATCTAAAGGAATTTGGGAACATATTGGCATTCATATCAGAATGTATTACACACTGGAAAATAACCCTTTTATTAAAGACATCAAAAACAGAAATTATTAACCTTCATTATTGTAATGGCTACAGGGTAAAAAAGACAAATCCATCTTATTTTAGCTCAAGGTGGCAACAGTGGGTCTAATTCTACGGATTGAATACACCCCTCATCTTTTCATTATTACTACCAAAATAGCAATGAGACAGATGAGGGGAAACATCAGCTCATGGGAGGATGGGAGCTTTAGGCAGGCAGAAGCACGCCCAGCCGGACAATGCCAGCTCCTCTGCAGAGCAGTTCAGAATAAATCTTGCCTACCGGCTGCCATGACGTGACGCAAATAGAGCTCAGAAGTGGACCCTGACTACAGTCATGATCATTTCTCAATGACTTAAAAAGACTCCAATACTGCAATCAACCTGATAGTCCAGCCGCTTTTACTGACAGTTCCAAAAATTGTGTGGTCACTCTACTCTGTTGTTGAAGAGAACACTGTCTCAGTACGACCCCAACACAACTGTTTATGCTATAGTCAGTTTAGTGGGACATTTTCATACAATTATTTTTTGACCCTCTGCATGATAGAAGGCAAGTAGTACTATTCTGGTCTGGCATTCACTTGCCAACAGCATTGTCATCCCTTAAAAATATAAATGTTTTGGGGCACCTGGGTGGCCCTATCGGTTAAGCAGCCAACTCTCGATGTCTGCTCAGGTCATAGACTTGCAGTTTGTGAGTTCGAGCCCCGTGTCAGACTCTGCACTGACAGGGCAGAGCCTGCTTGGGGTTCTCTCTGTCTCTCTGCCCCTCCCTACCTTTCTCTCTCAAAATAAATTAACTTTTTTAAAAAAGCATAAATGTTTTGAGGTGCAGAGAAAAGGAGGGTGATGGCACTGTGTAAGAATTTTAACATTATATTTTATTTCTTTTTTCTAAAACTTTTTTGATGTTTATTTATTTTTGGGAGAGAGAGACAGAGCATGAGTAGGGGAGGAGCAGGGAGAGAAGGAGACACAGAATCTGAAACAGGCTCCAGTCTCTGAGCTGTCAGCACAGAGCTTGATATGGGGCTCGAACCCACGAACCGTGAGATCATGACCTGAGCCAAAATCAGACCCTTAACCTGTTGAGACACCGAGGTGCCCCAACATTACATTATTTTAAATGAATGTTATTCAAGTTCAGGTCATTAAAAAAACAGTATCTTTTTTCCCTTTTATCACCCCAT